GAGGGTGGGGCAGCAGGAGCTGGGAGCCTCTGACCATGCATAGTTAGGGAAAGGAAGGTGTTTGACACAACCGGGTCTCTCCTTTTTCTCCTTCTGCATCACTTCTAAGGGCAGAATCAGAACAACTTACTTGAATGTCTTGGATTACAAGGGCCCCCAAAGAGCCTCTGACCATGCATAGTTAGGGAAAGGAAGGTGTTTGACACAACCGGGTCTCTCCTTTTTCTCCTTCTGCATCACTTCTAAGGGCAGAATCAGAACAACTTACTTGAATGTCTTGGATTACAAGGGCCCCCAAAGCCTATAGTTTCCAGAAGTTTCAGATTAGCTTTTTTTCCACCTCCAAGCATCTAAAAAAAGAGTTCCAAGTGGCTAATATTCTCCTGATAAGAAAACACATGTTCCCCAAATTTAGCAGGAATTATGACAAAGTCATCATGCTTCTGAATCTTTAATCCACAAGGAGTTCAATTCCGGAAGGCATTGCAATGTTAGCTTTTCCAGCAATACTTTACAGTGCAGTTGAGCCTGATTCTTAATACAACAGGTGGTCTCCTTCCTTTCTACCCACTTAAGAAAACAATTGTACCACAATTAATAAACTAGTCTCTAGGCCCTTTATAAGCTGGAAAGATTTTGTTTCCATGCAGGACCACCCAGGGAAGTCTGGGAAGCTTGTGAATGCAAGTTGCAGGGTGTTCCTATCATGAGCCTTCAACAGGAAGGACTCTGTATTGGTCCTTTAGCCCTAAATGCTCACAACAAATCTATAAGGAGGTGTAATTAGCTCAAGTCTACAGATGAAGCAATGGAGGCTCAGACAACTACTTTCCAGAGGTCACAGGACCATATTTGGGGGAGATGAGATTCAAGTACGGATCTCTGCAGTCTTCAGTGTCAAAGCAGCCCCTTGGCCCCCAAAACCTGCCCTTAAGGTCAGGCAGTGATGAAACTGACAGCACCCTGATGCTTTGCCAATTGGAGATTATTGCCTTTCTTATTTTTTTATATCAGTGTAAAGTCAGTGTTCAGAAATGAGTCTGTACAAATTGCAGTTGCTCTCTGCTCTGACAAATCCCCCAAATCATGGAGGAGTCATTGTGAAAGAGCTGTGTGGCCTTGGGCAAGGAAGGCCTGCTGTCAGCCGTGCTTCTGTCATCTGCACAGTTGTGATGATAACTCCCACTCCCTGCGCTGTTGGGAGGATCGAACAAAAGAATAGATGTCGAAGTGTTTAGTACCTTGTAGGTGCTTAATAATTGTGCATCTTCTTATTTCCTGCAATAACTGTTTCAAATAAATAATAAGTTAACAATAATATATCTGTTGAACATATCCCTTGTGTTTGAGGCTGAAGTGACTCTGCCTTTAACATTCCCAAACCCCGGGTGGTAGGTACTACTTTGACAGAAAGGCAACTAAGGACCAGGGAGGGTGACTGATGTGCCCGAAGTTACACAGGAAGCGGTAGGGCTGGGATTTGAACCCAGGCACACTGAACTTAGAGGTCATGCTTTTAACCATCATGCAATCCTACCCTCCAAGAAATGAAGATGAATAGACATTTCATAGACAAAGACATTTCAATGACTTGTCTTTCGCTCTCTTAATCCACATCTTTGGGAAATAAAAGGCATCTGTGCAAACTGTCCACTCTCTCAAGGATGCTACACTCAGAAAGCTTCACTGATTTATTTTATTATGTGATTGTAATTCTGCCTCCTCCTCATAAACCTTTAAAAGCAAACCACCTGGAGCAAATCTCCTTCGTACCTGATTTCTTCCCAGAGAGGTCCTTGCCCCGGAGCCAGGGGATGGTGAGAGGAATGGAAATTCTACTAGGAGAGTTTCCTCCACTGACTTTCCCTTCATTTATTTGCTTCTTTATTTACATTTCTTATGAAAAGGAGTTGCGGTGTAATTTCTTACGAAAGGTAACCACCAAACTATCTATTTCAGAAAGAGATGCCCGCAGCCTCCACAGAATAAAGGGAATGAAATATTGAAGATGTCTTGGCCTTCTTCAATGGAAAAGGCTTCCAGAAGGAGGCTGTGGGAGGTGTCTTCCACACTAGCAGAAATAGCAGGACCTCAAGAACCAGGCTGTGGGCTCAGATCAAGGTCCTCCTATAAACTGTCAGCCATTTTCTCTCTGATTCCCTAAAGAGAGGGAGGGAAGGAAAAGAAGCCTCGTCAACCTGTGTCTTGTTATTGCGGACGCAGATTCCTCCATCACCAAGCCTGGACCAAGCACCCTGCTGAGAACAAGGAGAGCCTAACATCTCATGGGCCACTGTGGGATGGGCGGCTCTGCAGGACTGATGGTAGGGGCACACGGGGGCACTATCAGAGCAGCTGCAAATGGGCCAGAGGTTCTGTCTGCAGCTGAAGAAAGGCTGCTGTGGCAGCAGTCACAGTTAGGGACCTGGGGTCCCCAGATACACCTGGCAAATATCTCCTGCACTCTCTGCTAGCTGTGGAGGAATCAAAAATTAACATCACACTCCCTGCCTTTAAGGAATCCCTAGTGACTGGGAGAGGCAAGCACACAAATGGATGATTTCCATATGATAATCTCCTAGGATTTGTTCACACTTTCTACCTCTATCTAGCGAGCATCTACTCCATGCCAGGTCCTGGGCAGTGTGAACGGGATTCAGAGTAACCATGAAGCTTATAGTCTAATGTGGGGGATGCTGCAGGAGCGCAGAGGAAGGTACCTACCCAGACCAGAGGAATTCTGAAAGGCTGCATGGAGGAGGTGTCAAGACAGAGGGGGAAAGAAATAGAGCTCCATGAGGAAGAAACAGCATGATCAAATGCTTAGTGGCATAAAACAGTTTCTCTCTAAGACGCTACAAGGCTGATCATGTGTGCTTCATCCAGCACTCTGACTTTCTGAGACGCCTAACAAAAAGCTGTCCTGTGCTCCAGTGGTTTGTCCTCTCGATTGCACTCGGGGCCTCTGGAGCAGAGGCGGTGGCAGCTCCGTGCTCTCCTCCTCCGGAGGGGCTGGGCCTGTCCCATCACAGCTCTGGGGGGCTATGAGGAAAAACACGTAATTAGCAATGTTCTCTTCCACGTGTAGTCACTCTCACCCAAATACCCTCCCGAGGTAGGCTGTGGCAGAGGAAACCCCTTCAAGGGAGGCTACTTACTGTGGAGTTCAGAGCAACCCCCACACTGCATGGTTAGCTGGGACCTGGCAGAGTTGTAGCGCCGAGGGGCACTGCGTCCTGTGACCTGAACCCTTCCCTTCCTCTCCCAGAACATTAACTGTGGCCCTACTGCCTGCCACGCTCGTGGCCGCACTTGGTCCTCACCCAGCACCGTAGGGTCAGTGCTCTGCTCCCTGTTTTACTTACTGATAAGGTGCCTGAGGTTTGGAGACCTTCATCGACCTGCCTGAGAACTCCTGACCTGACAGAGTCAAGCCAAGACGATTTCTACATCTGCTTTAAACATGTTTTCAGAGGCTTCCCACGCACATTCATCCTTGACATTTAGGCCTCAGCTGAGACAGGAACTTTCTCCATCTAAAGGGACCCTCCCTGTCACCTTTGGTACTTGCACTCCCTAACAGGACCTATGGGCTTCTCTCCCCTAGCAGCACAAGGCAGGGATCTTTCTTAACTCCTTCCCTGCTGTATCGTTGATGGTTCAGGGACAGCCTGGTATGGCAAAACCCTGAACCAATGGTTCCTAAGTGAACAAAGCTGACTGGCCCTTAAGCCCAGCCCCCTCTGCCCCACTAGAATTGCTCAAGATGGCAGCCAGTGGCCCAGTGGGCACATGAGTGGCTGCAGAATGACCCCTCAGTGTAGGACTTTGAATTCCTCACAGGTGAGGGCAGGCAATTCCATAGTTTTCCATTTCTACTTTGGCAAAAGGCTGCCATCTAGCAATGTATGTGAGCAACATCTGGGATCCATAAACTAATAGTGTCCATAACTCATGTTCTGTGATGATTCACACTCACCCTTCTGCCCACAAGTCTGGCTGAGGGTTGTACAGACCTCCCAGGTGGGAATCCTCATGGTGGGGTGGGGGGAAGCTTGCTCACTGCTGCCAAAGGCACTTCTGTTGGTCGCCGTGAGCGCTGCCTTGACTCTGCCTAGAGTCTGAATTTCAGTCACAGCTATTGCTGTTTCAGTCGATCCATGTGCACACTCACTCAGCGTTTATTTTGTTGATTGCTGTGTTTTCTGTGGTCCCACTTTGACTGTGATTTTGTTCGTCTTCAACAGTGTATCACTTCCAAATGTTGCTTCCACTAAAACATAGCAATAAGACATCAGCCCTACTTAAGCGGGTCACAGTCCTGACTGTTTGGGAAAGAGCCCTTGCACCCCACCTCGTGACCTCACATAGCCCTGAGCTACTGTGCTCTCTTTTGTTTTGTGACAAGATAGAAGCATTCCTAAAAAATCACTATGCTAGGCAAAATAAGGAAAATAGGGCACAACACTCAAAAACATCATCAATGACACAAAAAAGGAGAGAGAGAAATCATTAGAACAGTTTCACACCAGATAAATGGTTAAGACATATGTAAGTATACTGCAATAAATGTGGCACTTCACCTTGAGGAGGCCTGATGCAGGCGTGTGGAAGTGGGCATAGGAAGGAGTGCAGCTGGTACGTTCCTGTGAAACATGGAAGGAGGTCTTTCTGGGTGGGATGGACAGGTATAACGGCAGGTGTGCATGGAAGCGGCTCATAACACATGGGGAACCAAGAAGTGGGTAGGTGTTAGAGGTGTGTACGTGTGCATGTTTTGTACGTTCCTATGTAGCCCAGACCAGCTGGATGCAGTTTTCTGCATTACCCTAGTGTTTCTCAGGAAGGAAATCCTGCATAAGCAAATGTGAAATTCCCATTATCCTCAAATCATTCCCTAATATATCAGTTGCATTCGAACAAATCTGCATTTTCAAAACAAACGTCATAGCAGAATTGGCAGTGCCTGATCTGCATTCATCCTTTCCTTGTTTGTGTAGACTGGACCAAGAGGATTGAGTATCAGCCCGGCTCGGGGAGCGTGCCCCTGTTTCCCAGCATCCACCTGGAGACCTGCGATGGGGCCGTGTCCGCCATCCAGATCACCACAGAGCTACAGACCAATTACATCGGGAAGGGCTGTGACCGGGAAACCTATTCCGAGAAGTCCCTTCAGAAATTATGTGGTAGGTTTCTCCTTGTTGGGATGTTTTTAATAAATCACTTTTAAGTGAAATATATGAAGCATATCTATGGTATTATGAAAGAATCAGGCCCTTCCGCTGCACTGAGATGTGTAACTCCTGGAGGAGTATTACATTTACTTATTGTGGTTAAGGGGTCAGAAGGCACAGCTTTCGGCATCAGGCACACCTGATCAGATCCCACCATTACCAGTTGTGGGGCGGTGGGCAAGTGGTGTGACAAAACCTCCATTCTCCATTGGTGAAACAGGATGAATGACACCACAGTTTAAGAGCACCTAACTCAGGGCTTGAAGAGCCATGGGCTGCCTTCCAGGGTGTTGGCTTGGAGAGGGGCGCCGGACCAGCGGCCGCAGCAAAGGGTGGTGCCAGCCACTTGGGGGAGCTGCGCATGTCGGAGAGGAGCTGGGGTCAGGGTGGAGGTGGCCCGGCGACGGTGTCCCGGGCGTGGGAGAGGGGGCTGCTGTCAGTGTGCGTGAGGCAGTGCGTCGCAGCGAGGGAGCCACGGGGGACGGGGAAACAAGGCTGGTGGAGCGGCGGTGCAACGGGAGTCTTAGCTCTATTGGGCGCCTGCTGTGCGCTCCCTTTCCCTTTGCCTGGCTCTTCACAGGCATCACTTTATTGAGCTCTTCGTCTTCACTCTGAGGAGGATGTTATTCATCCAATTGTAAGGATGGAAACCTTAAGACCCAGAGAGGAGAAATGGCTTATCTGAGGTCACACAGATAGAAAGTGACAGAGCTAGACTTTCCGGGTGTGCCCGTCTAAGTGAAGGGCTCTGGAACTTCACATGTACGGAGGCAGGCCAGGCCTGGGAGCTCGAACGGCAATCTCCCGTCAGCCTGTGGACTGAGAGGACGCTCACCCGGCAGAATGGTGCCTCGTGCTGGGTGAACCGCGCTGCGGATGTGAGGACCCTCCTTCATCCCCACACACGTTTCATTTCTTTCTTGTTCTCTTCAAGAATATTCATCATTCAACTCTCTACCTGTGCTGTGGAGAGTTTAGGAAAGAGCTTACTTACAGACTGGGCCCACACTGGGGGGAACTATGTCTCCACAGGAGGAGGTGGCTCCTGAACAGTTCAGTCTGCCATCCCTTCATGGTGACCCTCCCACTATTACCTTTGGGGGGACTTTCTCTCCTTTGCATTGCACCCCCCAACACACACGTACCCCTTCACCCACACTGCTCTGGCCCTAAGAACCAAGTGAAGATGTTAGAACTGAATGTGAAATAAAGCCTGCTTAGATATCACTGTGTCTGATTTATCATGTCACTGGACTGGCAAGGGAGGCCTGTGGGGATACAGGCTTCTCCAGGGAAAACACCACAACTTCAATATTCCAAACAGCTCTTGCAAAAATGTGCACAAAGGGTCTGCAATATTCAGAAAACTGCCTCTGGTCCTCTCTTTTACTCTGCTGCAAAGAAATCATCTCAGAGACATCCTACTTCTAGTGAATATCCCATTTCACTCCCCGGGCACCTGAATTATAAGTCAACTCGACCCCACACCACCGTAGGTTACAGTCATTTCCTGAACTCCTCCAGGTTAGACAGAGATGATGGAATCAACATGCTAAAGATCAGATGGGCCCAAGGGCACACACTTATGATTTGATTTTGAATGTTTCTGGGGAGAGATGAAGAGATAGGGGGAGTGAGAAGGATTTTCTGAGGGAAGAAACTTTAGAGCAAAATTGCATCTTATTGTTAACACAGCTCATTCCTCCTGAGCTGCCAGGCTGGCCTTGCAGGAAGGCAAGATAATTCAGTCAGAAAAGCCGTTTCCCCTAAAATGTGAGCTTATCTGGTGCTGGGAGTGACCGTTTCTTAAGAGGAGTCTGTGTGTCTTTCTGCCGACCTTCCCTGGGGGGCCACCTCCACACTTAGGGAAAGTCCTTATCAGCACTGTGAATTGTGAATTCCCCTGAGGCAGGAAAGGCCAGAAGCAAATGAATGAGCCCCAGATGCTCCTCTGGTCCTGACTCGGCTTCTGAAGGAGGCAGCTCATCAGGCCCCAGGCAATATCCAAACTTCAAGGGAAGTGGGGGCCGGATCACTTCTAAAATGGGGTCTGGGTTGTAATTCCTGACTCTGGTGGGGTACCTGAGCTCCTGAAGCCAAGCTTCTGTGTGTTTTCAGTGGAAGGCAGACAAGCTCTTGCAGGGTTTACCAGCTGGGGAGTGGCCATGACACGGTAAGCCTCAGCATTCTTGCATTTTTCATCCTGCAAATCTTTATTGACTATGGATGGACACGGGGAGACCAAATAGGTTGTTATTGCCATAGTTTAGGCAAGAAAGACATAATGAGTTCTGAACCAGGGAGTGGTGTCAGGGATGAATATAAGACAGCTTATGAGGCAAAATCAGCAAGAGCCAGTGACTGATTTGCTGTCAGGAGTGAGAAAGAAGGCATCTAAGATGGCCCCAGTGCAAGCTTCTAACAGGTTAAGGGTGCCACTGCCAGAACAAGGAACCCAGGCCAGGAGCAGATTTAGGCACCACTGGTACGTGCCAGATGACAATCTGGTGTGGGTGCCCAACTCTAGCCTGAGTCTGCACCCTCGCGAGGACCAGCCTCCACCCTGCCGATCCAGCGTGAGAGACCAGATCCTGGTGTTGTCTCTTCTCAGCGAAGACACCACCTCTGTCCCCATGCCTGGCTGGGGGTCATCCCTAAGCCTTTTGTTCATTTTTTCTTTCCACTAGACTCTCCCCCTCATCATTCCAAACCCTTGCCTTCCATCAGTATTGCCCTGCCCTCTGCGCCCACTGGGAGGCAGCCCTGGAGCCCTTCTTGGGTGGCTGTGAGTCCTGGTGTCTCTATGGTGAGGCTGCAGATGAGCGGTGACCCAGCAGGGTGTCTCTCCAGAGGGACATTGTAGGCATTTGGTCATTTTCCATTTGCTTCCTCCTCCTACAACACCAGCTCCATTAGGAGCAGCGATAGAATTCTGGTGAAGGGAAAGTTGGGCAATAGCTGGCACACAGCCTGCTGCCAGAAAGTTCCTGACAGGGACTGGCATTTGAAATAGCCTCTGTGGGGCTCGGGAAGCACTGGACGCCCCCATATTGCCTCCTGAGGTTTATACACTGAGTTGCCACCATTCTGCTTTAAAACCCAAGCCATGCAGGGCTCTGAACCTGTGTCCCCTTCAGCTTGGGAGGCCAGACACAGCCTAAGATGTAGCCTTGGGGGGCCCCCGTGGCCTTTGCTTCACATAAAGCCAGGCTTCTAGGAGAAGCTGAGCAAACTGCTTATCACTTCCTCTGAATCCAGAGACTCAGAATGAAGGACTGCCATCTCAGCGCCACACTTTCCAGAGGTGAAGTGTCACAGAACCAGCCTGAGTATGAAATGCTCAACAAAATCCTCAAGGAGAACTCTTAGTCAGATTACATTTGACATTAACCACAGCCCAAGGGAAGGCCCACTTCGAGGCCCCTACATCACCACCTAGTACAGCAAAGAGAAAAGCAGTCTGTGATGCTCCTGCCCTTTGTGGCCCTGAGGCCAGAGGCTACTCCTAGTCAGGATTACAGGCCTCCTGGCAGGGGCCTGGCATCTCCCACATGCAATGCCCGTGCCAGCCGTTTTGTATGTGCGGTCGAGACCTTCAAACATGGGTCTGCTGAAGGTAAGGCCACAGATGGGAGCCTGCCATTAAATCCAGTGACCGACCTGTCAGCACAGTTCAGATCACCAGACATTAAGATGTTCTCAGGATTTGCAGACTCCCAGCCCAGGAGGTTTTCATAGAGGATTCATTCATTCATTCCCGTATTTATTAATTCAACAAACATTTGTGAGTGTCCAAATGCTGTAACTCTTGAGGTTATACAGAATAAGACCACTTAACAATTCAGTCTCCTGAGGAAGACATGCTTAAAAAAAAGTTAAATCTGAGGTTTTCTACTACTCCATGAAGCTTAACAAAGCTTGTCATCACTAAGAATCATGCTTAGAGGCTTCCAGACCCACAGCATGGCCCAGCTACAGGTAGGAAGCTGTCATCAGTTTCTCCAAGTCACCTCTAAAGAGCTCGAGTTTCCCAGGGGAGACTCTGTCCCAGTCTGACCTGTGCTTCCATTCTCAGAGAGCTACAGTGGGCCCAGCCCATTAAGGAAAACCGAATCATATTAAATCACCAATCACACACCTGCAATGGTCTGCACATGCTGACTCATGAATGATGATAGTGAACAGTGGCCCTCTCAACCAATATGCTTCCTTCCTTGATGTCATTTCAGCAGCTCTCATGCGGCATGCCCTCCTACAGTGGGGAGAAGGGTTCTGCCTGCAGTGGCCTTGCCCAAGCTGGTCAGCAAATGGGTACCCATGGCTCTGTTCCAGTAGCATAGCTGAGCCCTCGTCCAGAGCCAGTCTCGCTTCACCTGGACAGCTAAGTTTCTGATTCCAAGGCCTCGGAGGAACACCTCTTGTCCGAGAGTCCAGGTGGAGTAATGGTCTGATTGCAGGGTCAATGGGCTGTGCTCTCCTGCATGGGCATCAGAAAGCCCTCCATCCATGCTGCAGGTATGCAGATGGAGAGACAGGAATTGTGGCTGCTGATGTCAGTCACTTATGTGGATTGTCTGTCAGGATACAGGTTATGCTGCAGTAGCAAATGACCCCAAAGTCTCCTTGGCTTAAAATAGCAAAGATTTATTTATTATTCCTCCTGTACATCATTCTTGGGCTGACTGTGGCTTTGTTCCATATCAGCTTTCTTCCATATCAGTTTCCCACTGGGATGGAGGTTAACTGAACAGCCTTTAGCTAGGGTATTGTGGATCTCATGAGAGATGGGAAGAAACCACGGACTGGCTCTTGCAACTTCTGTCCCGATATGACACATACCACTTGCACTTTTGTCAGAGCAAGTCACACAACCAAGTGCTACCAATGGATCAGAGACACATGTTGATAATGGAATGCCTTCTGTCACCGTGAGTCCTTGGTCAGCATTTGTCAAGAGGGCCTTCTGGCTTCCCCAGACACTCAAGCACGAACATATCCCACCCGTGAACAATAACTGACTTCCTACTGGGCTTCTCAACATAGGGCCCACTTCTGGTGGGTTCCTTGCTGCATTCTCCCCACAGTGCCTGGCATAGCTTAGACAATACATGAACATCTATTGAAGTAATATGGAGCTGATATTGACAACTGTGAGAATACGGAATGAGGCCTGTGTGCTTGACTGCAGTGGCTTCTCTCCCCTGAGACCCTCCTATGTATCCCTATCCCTTCCCATGCCTCAGGAGGGACCATGAGGAGGCATGACCTGAGGCTCCATGTCCATCACCATTGCCACAGGTCCACCTTGTAGTGCTAAGGATCCTCTGCCCTCAGCAAGACCACCCCAAGCAGCATGTAAGCCCTGACGTTAGGAAGTCCAGCTACCTCTGCCTCCAGGCTCCATTTGGGCTCTCACACCAGTGTGACCACATCTTTATCTAGTTGCTGGCCCAGAGAGGCTCCCCCACCCTGGTAGGCCTCAGGGTACCCTGGACTCATACCTCAACTCTGGCCCCAAGCCCCCACACTCAAGCTCCAGCTGCTGTGTGCCAGACCAGGGTAAACCTTGGCAGCCTGGTGGGTCCCAGGGACCTTTGCAGAGGATTCCCAGCAAATGTCTTAAATATATACTGATAGGAAGACAGTGCCTCACCATTTGGCAAGTGGTTCATTCAGTTTATGCCCTGCTTTCCATGAGATCCCTTGGGGAGAGGAGAGAGAGAAGAACTTTGGAAGAAAACAAATCTCCCCCAGTTTGTTTAAGTGCACAAGAAATGAAACGCAAGCTGTTAAGTTTGTGGAAGTCTGCACCATCTGGTTACATGCAGCCTGGTGCTTTCTGCTAGGCAACATCTGTGGGTTAGTCAGGGTGGCCTGCTGCTCCCCTCACCCGACAAGACAAGGGGGCTGAGCATCGCTGGCCTTGCCAGGGCACATGCTCTCCACAATGTGCCTCTCTGTGGACAGCTGCCTATATAGGGAGGTGGGGTCCAGGGGACTGTGCTCTGCTTGGTAAGACACTATCCTGTGTGGCAGAAAGAGCATTATCTGGGTCTGCGAGCTGGGTCTGCCTCTAGCGAGCTGTGTGGCTGTGTGATCTTGGTCAACTCGTCCCCTTCTCTGGGCCTCAGTTTCCATGTTCATAAAATGTATAGGAGGTTACAAGATCTACCCCCCAGGTTTATTGAGGTGCTACAGTGGGGACCGTGGGCTTTGGAGCTGCAAAGTCCTGGTGATGGGTCCAGTCACCAGCTGACTGTGAGCGGTGCTCACTGAGCCTCAGGTTTCTTCTATGTAAACTAGAATCATAATAGTATTCACTGCATAGGTGAGTAAGTAAGAAAAAACATTGAAGTACTTAATTCAGATCTGGTAACCAGGGCATAAGAAAAGGTTCCTAGGAAAATAGTGATAAAGGCGTGGTAGCAAAGCTAGCACTGGAAGCCACTAGGCACACACCATTGCACGGGGCACTGCTCGACGGTTGGCTTCACTGGCATAAGCTGGAAGTCAGGAGCCCGAGGGCTCAGCCCGCATCCCTCTGGCCACCTGAAATGTCAGGATCTGACACACACTCTGAATGTGCCCAGTTCAGGGCTGTCTTACATTGGACAGATCCTGGTATGAGAGCTAGCTTACCCATAGGGCAGAGAAGATGCTGCCATTTTGGACATTTCTAAGAAAGTGAACTTGTTGCAGAAGACCACATATCTTTTTCTTCCTACCTACTCCCAAATCTCTACCTGCTACCACGTTGATAGATTTCTTTCCTTCAAATACTTTTGGAGGGTGATAACCCTGGAAGCTTTGTCAGTCATTAAAACATTAGTGTGCATTAATCTTTCAGATGAGTAAAATTTAGCAGATAAGTAAAATCTTATCAGATACCAAACCAGGCTCTAAGGGCAGGAGTTGAGAACAAGTAAGTATTGGTGAGAGGTGTGGGGCCTGGGCGAGAGGCCAAATGGCAGCTCACCTAAGCACTGGGTAGATGGCCAGAAGCATCTCATGAAGGTACTGGTGAGAGGAAAGGCAGTCATAAACATTAATGGAGTGCCTACTGTGCCAGGCACAAAACCAGCCAAAACCTCTAAGGTACACATGTAAATAATGCAGTCAGTGCTGCCCACCTCTCCCCTTGATGAGCCCGAGCTGCAGAGTGATCATAAGTTGGGAGACCAGAATATCCCATCCTCTCAGATACTGCACTTCCCACAGGCCTCCCGAAGGATGAGCCTCTCAGTGATAAACAAAGCATCTGATTCTAAGGACACATATTTTTCACATAGCATAACCATCCATTGCAAACCAGTGGCACTCCACCCCAGACCTGATTATCTGTTCCAAGATGATTTGTTTCCCAAGAGGGAAAACTGGCTGGGTTGAACATTCTCAAAGAAGTGGATTGGTTTCCAAAGTAGCACCTTCCTGAAGGATAGTCAAGAGTCATTTTAACTGAAGGAGATGTTCGTGCTGGCTGACTTGGGAGCCCAGTCCCCTGGTGAGATGAGGCTCAGATGCAGGTTTGGTTCCAGAGCACCACAGGAAAGCGAACGTCACAATAAAGGGAGTCAAGTGAATATTTTAGTTTCCCAGTGTAGATGAAAGTTATGTTCATACTATATGGTAGTCTATTAAGTGTGCTATATTGCATTGTCTAAAAAACAATGTACATTCCTCAATTTAAAAATACTTCACTCCTAAAAAATGCTACCCACCCTCTGAGCTTTTGGTGAGTCATAATCACTGATCACAGATGACCATAACAATATAATACTCACAAAAAGTTTGATAGGTTGCAAGAATTATCAAAATGTGACACAGAGACACAAGGTGAGCAAATGCTGTTGGAAAAATGGTGGTGATAGACTTGTTCAACCCAGAGTTGCCACAAACCTTTAATTTGCAAAAAAATGCAATATCTGCAAAGTGCAATAAAGTGAAGTACAATAAAACAAGGTATGCCTGTAGACAAAATTCAGAAGTCCAGTGAGCCCTGACAAATATCAGGTTTTGCACACAACCACTGTCCACTGACCCCATCAGCATTTACAACTGACTGCCTAGTGCCATGCCTGCTGGGAGAGCATGTGACCCCCAGCACTGGACACAAGTTAGACTCTCTTATTCCTAGACAGCATCAGGAAGCCCCCGCCCTCATCCTTCCCTGTGCTGAGCCCCACTCCTGTGTGGAACATAAGGATGCAGAGAACTCTGCTGGTAGCTCCTGAGCTTCAGTGGGAGCTCAGTGGAGGCTTAAGGACACTCCCAGCTGAGACATCCAGACTTCTCTGCTGGGCCACCTGCTCCCACTTACCTCAGCTCCGGCCTCCATGAAGCTGGTGGTGTGCTCCTCCTAAGACACAAATATGCCTCTGACAGTCCCACTACGTAGCCTAGAATCATAGTGGTAGCAGAAAGAACTATAATTGTAATAATAATGATAAAGGTATAGCTCACGTGGAGTGAGAATGCACCATGTGGCTGGCCTGCTGCTGTAAGCTCTCGTGCAGTCTCCCATTCAGTCTCCACAGCACACTGGAAGAGGAGGTATCAAGGAAGGAGGTGGAAAGATAGAAAAATTAAGTGACTTGCTACCAGACACAAGGCTAGCAAGTCATGCTGCCAGGCATCAAATTCAAATTTCACTGACTTCAGAATCTGTTCTCAACCACTGTACCATGTGGCCTAAACAAATGATTGTAAAAAAGTGTGCTGAGTAAAAAGTGACTCATACTCCTTCCCATGGCATCAGGACCTAGAACTTCCCTCAGTCACAGCCCTGAACACACTGCATACAGCTGTCTGTCGGATTCTTGGCTCTGAGCTCTTCCAGGTCAGGGACTGTGCTGATTCACCTTCATATTGCCAGGACCTAGCAGGAATCTTGACACAGGATCAGTGCTCGATAAATAGCTAGCAGGTTGAAGGATGGATGGGTGGATGAATGAATTCATCCATCCAAATCAGGCCTGGCCTTGTCCAGCAACCTTTCCTGATTATAAAAGCCCCCAGGGTAACCTCATTTCTCTAAATTCCTCCAGCACTTTTCCTGGTACAAAAGTTTATTGCACTCTGTCTTGTCACATGCAACGTTTTTGTCTGTAAGTTCCTGATAGCTCCAAAGAGACCAGAAGCAGTTCCGGGGTAGGGATGGCATTTGGCTCTTCTTTTCCTGAGTGACCTAGCTCAGGGTGGAGCACAGACCTCTGAGTAGGTACACCGAACAGTTCATCCACACCCAGGAGCAGACGACAGAAGGTGAGGACACCCACCTGGTGAGGACTGACCCTTTGTGCTTTCCATCCCCCCGTCCTCTGCAGGAGCCTCCTCTGGCATCATTGACCTCTTGCCGTCCCCCAGCACTGCCACCAACTGGACCACCGGACTACTGGTGGACAGCAGTGAGATGATCTTCAAGTTCGACGGCAGGCAGGGTGCTAAGATCCCTGATGGGATTGTGCCAAAGAACCTGACGGATCAGTTCACCATCACCATGTGGATGAAACACGGCCCCAGCCCCGGTGTGAGAGCCGAGAAGGAAACCATCCTCTGCAACTCAGACAAAACTGGTGAGTCTCGAGTCCAGCGCCCCCAGTGGCTGCCTGTTGTGCCCGGTTGTTTGAACACAGCCACAGAGGATGTGGGGAAAAGCAGGGGCATGAGGAGATTCCTAGGAAAATATTCTGTCTCTGGTTTTCTGGCTGCTGATTTTCTGGGCTTAGGGTAGAGCAGAACAGGAAAGGGGAGAAAGTAGAGACAGAGATAGAAAGAATGCAAAGGCTGGGGCTAGTGGTTTTCAAACCAGGTTCTTCAGAACCCTGACCTCCCCAGAAGTAACTTAGGGCTGCCAATATGGGCGAGAGGGGGAGGCCAGGAGCTGTCTTCCTTCAAGCCAAGCAGCTCCACCTTCACAAAATTTTAAATAGTAAGACTTGCAAAACTTTATGTTCAGTGAAAAGGTCCTGCTCATTTAAAATAATTTGAAAATCACTGCCGAATATAATGGTGATAGCTGACTTTTGTTAGATTTCCAGCACACTGAGCCTGTGCAAGGCAGTTCACACCTTGGTAGTTACAAGGGCTCCACCAATTACTGGCTGGGGGACCTTGGGCATGGTGTCTAACTCTCTGTGCCTCACATTCCCTGTCTATAAAATGGGCATGATAGTATCATCTACCTCATAGGGTGCTTATCAGCATGAAATGACTTCTGTATATCTAATGCTTTACAACAGTACCTGGTGCACAGGAAGTACCATCTATGGTGGCAATTACTATTATTACTGCTCTAAGCTGCTCTACATCTCTGCAATTTTATAAAAGCATTACTGTGTTTTCCATTTTAAGGATAAGGAAACATCCCTGAGAGATTAAGGAACCTGTCCCAAGTTATACAGCCAATCAGTATTAGAACTGGAATGTAAGCTTAGATCTAGCTAACTTCAATCCTATGTTCTTATCACTACCCTCAATTTGCAAACACACACACACACATACGCAAAAATACTCTGATTTCTTATGCAAATGTTATAATTCTATTTTAAATTGTAACCCCACAATTTCCCATTTCAAATGCTGCTTTTCTGAAAATATCCCAAATAAACTACACCTATAGCAAATAGTGCAGTGAGAAAACAGTATAGGAGAGTGGCTGGCAGCTCAGCCTCACTGCTGTACAGCCAGAGTTCACACCTCAACTTTCCCACTATTTAAGGTGTGACCTTCAAGGAGTTGCTAATATCTCTGAGCCTTAATTTCCCCATATGTAAAATGGGGAAAACAAACATAATAATGTATGAAATCACTTAGCACCAGATACAAAATCAGTGCTTGATTAATCTGGTACTATTATCATCCTCATATTTCTGGTTTTATTCCACATTATGCTACTAGCAGGCTCCTGTATTTTCTGTTTTAATTGATATTTACAATCAATGTCAATGTATTTTCTGGGTTAGAAACTGAGACAGAGAGAGTTATCAGATTTCCCTAATCATACAGTAAGTCTATGTCAGGTTGGTTTTGCCAACGATTAACTTTTCTGGGACCTTCATGCAGAAAGGACCCCAAAGACCTGCATGAGGTGGCCCTGTTTTAGGACTGGTTCAAAGCTCAGTCCACCACCCCAGGAATCAGCCCATGGCTCTGTCCTTTCAGTGCCTGGTGGGGCACCCCCATCATGATCCAGAAGCCAGTGTCTGACACAATGGCCCCAGCATGTACATATGAATGCAAAGCTGCAGAAGCTGGGGCCACACATATGTAGTCCTTTCTGATATGTATCAAATACCCCTGGGAAGCAGGTTACACAGATATAAATGTTCCTGCTTAAAGAGGAGAAAACTAGAATATGGGAAGTTGAGTAGCTGGCCCAGGATAATGTAGCCAGTTGCCCAGAGAAACAGGATCGTACCTATCTCCCCTGGCCCCACATTCCAGACCCATGCTGTTGGACCTATAGGTCAACCCTCCTAACACAGCAGGATAGCCCAGACGCTTCTAAAACTACATGGATACCAGAGCCCCACCTCAGTCAATAAATTCAAATTTCTGGGGAATTCTTATGTGCAGCCATGGCTGAAAATTCTGCTTTAGCCAGTGCTGCCTCCCCTTTCATTGAGCAGTACACCCAACAGGCATTTCAGCTCCCTTGAATCAGCAAGGACTCAAGGCACTACTCAGCTTTGGCCTTACTATAAAATAACACTTTACAATCAGCTCAACGTGGGCACCAAGAAGATGGGGGAGATTTTTCTCTAAATCTTCTGAACTTAAGAAAAAAAAATCTATAAATATGTCCTTGCTTTAAACTTTTTAAAAATCAGAAATGAAAAGCAACACATTTATAGCAGAAAACCTGAAAAGCACAGAAAAGTATAGAAGAGAATACACAAATCACCTAAAATCCTAAGACTTAGAGGTATTTTCTATTAATATTTGGTAATGAAATATTCCAAATCTTGTTTTTATTTCTATCTGCATGTAGAATGTCCTTACAATTTTCAATCTATGTTTTATAATACATGTTATGCTATCATGTTATCTGTTTCTCTTACATGACATTATATCCAGATCATTTCTTCCTGTGATGAAAAATATTAACAATATGAATTATGCGGCAGTCTAAAATTCTGTCATGGGGCTTTTGTTATACTTCATTTAACTGGCTCCCTTTTGTTAGATGTTTAGAGTGTCTCCTTTTAAATGCAAATAAAACAATGCCATGATGAGCATTCTTGTGTCAACCTTTATAGGACATTTCTGATTATTTCCCAATCAGAAGCTGAATTATTGAGTCAAAGAATATAGGCAGGCTATCGATGCAGATTTCCAAATCACCCTTTGTGAAAATGGCACTCGTTTCTGTCTTGTCCACCAAGTAAAACTTATTATGCTGGCCCATTAGAAAGTAATTTATAAATAATTGGATAATAGAATTGATTAGTCATCAAGGGCTAAGTGAAGTTTTAAAGAACTAAGAAAGAAAACCACTATTAGCCACCACCAACGAAAAACGTCTCAGTGGCGAACACTCTTTGCTCGTGGTTTTCCCCTACGCCATTGTCCGGCAGCCCTGGGTGGGGCAGGGGGCTGAGGAAGCTCAGCTTTGCCCAGGCAGGTGGGGACCCAGCATCCCTCCATCGTTTGGTGCCATTTTCAACTACAAGATAGAAAGTTAGCATAGAGTTGAACATAGAAGGGTTTTATTGGCTAGACCAGCAAGTGGCGTGCCTCACTTCTACTCACACTCTGTTGGTAGAATTTGGTCACGTGGCCCCCCTAACCACAGGGAAAGCTGTGATATGAGTTCTGTTGTTTGTCTAGGAGCAAAGGAAACAGAATCAGGTGAACACACAGCAGTCTCTACCACGACTCTCTTGGCTGGGACACTTGTGCCCCCTCCAAACCTACTTTGCTGGCCCTCTTCTCCCCACTCCTGGTGTGAGTGACGCTCTTTCCTGCCCTCTCTCAGAGATCGCCCTCCCCATACGTCTTATCCTCTTGCCGGGATCCCCTTTTTCACGCATGCACCCCTCTTGCTATCTTTGAGTTCCAACTGACAGCAATGTATGATAAATGATCGCACACAGTGCTAACCACTTCCCTACAGGGCTTTCCAAGAGAGAGGAGCCAGCCTGGCCCAGCAATCACCAGGTGGCAGAGGCAGAACAGCCAGCCTGGTAGGGAGCTAGCCGGGCCCCCTGCCTGCTACGAAAGGGAAGGGGTGCTCCTACACTTCCAGAGAGGCCCAGAAAATCATTCAGAGGGATGGACATTGTCTGCCATAGAGAGGAGGTGGGAATCTCACTCCCAGCTGAGGTTTGCAAGCCAAGCTGCGAACACTCGGTAGAGCCCTGGGGAAGTTTGAATCATGTCCCAGGAGTCAGGATGTATGAATGCCTGGCCTGATTCCCACCCCCCGGGGATTATGAAGGCAAGAGGCCGATGGGGGCTGCCTCAGCTGTGGGCTGAGGAGAGAGGAGAGCAGGGGGCGGGGGGAGAGCAGGTGTCTCACTGCAATTTGGCAGGACACAGGTGTTTGAGTTCTTATTCTTATGGGCCAAATGGACACCCAGAAGTGGTTGAGGCTAGAGCCAAGGGGGCTGCATGCCAAGCAGAGGGGATCCTGGTGGGAGGAGCAGATGGGGGAGGAGGGAGGAGTTACTGAGAGAGGGCAGGGGCCGAGAGAGGTCATGAAAGACTGACTGGGAAAAGCATCACTCACACCAGGAGGAGAGAGGTGGCACCCACAAAGGAAGGACTGGAGCTGGCATAAATGTCCCAGACATCTAGAAAGGGACTGTCACTGATGAGATCAGTCCCTGTGTAAAAATGATAACTAGCCCACTCTCATTCCTGATTACAATAGGGTTGGGGGGTGTGGGTGGTAGGGGGAAGAGGGGAGAGATGAAAACACTATTTTGCCCAGGTCCAGGCTCTGCAGCGCCTCTCCAGATAGTGAGTGCACATACATACACCTGCATGACAGTGCACATGCAGCATCCCCGAGAACATGACAGGCTCCACGGGCTCGTTAAAGGGACCCCACCTCTTTCCTTCTTATCGGCCTTCCCCTGACTCTGACCATGGCTGGAGCCAGAAAGAGGCTGGGGGATGAGGCAGTGGAACAAAAAGAGTGAAAGGACAGACCCACTGCCTTTCCCCGCTGTTGGCCACCAAGCCGTGGGTCAAGGCTGAGCAGAGGGAAAGGGAGGGCCTTTGAGCTGGATGAGACACTGGCATTTGATTTAGAGTGAACCCTTCAGCACGATCAGCACAACAGCCCCCCTCATCCATGGGCTCACATTCTGCGGTCGCAGTTACCCACCGTCACCCCCAGTCTGGAGACAGATGATCCTCCTTCTGATGTGTGGTCAGAAGGTCAACAGTAGGCCACATGCCTGCATCATCCACCTCACCACGTCTCCTCATGTAGGCATTTTCTCATCTTACATCATCATGAGAAGAGGGGAAGCCCAGCACAATGAGATACTTTGAGAGAGAGAAAAAGCACAATCACATAACTTTAATACAGTATATTGTTATCATTGTTCTATTGCATTGTAACAATAACTAATAAGTTATTGTTCATCTCCTACTGTTCCTCATTTACAAATTAAACTCTACTGTAAGTATCTATACATAGGCAAGAGCGTAGTATAGATAGGGCTCAGTGCCATCTGTGGTTCAGACATCCCCTGGGGGTCATGGACTGTATTCCCCAAGGAGAAGGGGAGACTGCTGCTCTATCAGAATGTGACCAGAGGCTTTAGGAGCTGCTGGAGACGTGGGCAAAGAGGAGGAAAGAGAGCTGTAGCAAAACACACAGAACTTCAGAAAAAGAAGTGGAACTAATTCCCGAGTGTATCATGTCGTCAGTTCACTGGATAAGCCAGTTTCCCTGGTGTGGGGGGTGATCCAGGAATCCAGACTAACGGAGGGTGTGGGAGGGAGAAACCCCCTAGCTAAAAGGTGCTCAGGACCCCCAGTGAGGTCTAGCCTTTCATTCTTCTTGTTCCAGCTCCTCACGCACAACCTCTCCTGACTCAAATAAACTAAAGGGAAAAAGGTTTTCTATATTTTCCTGACAGATATCAACAGAAACCACAATAGAAAATTAGTTAGGCAATTCTGAGGGGACAAGAAACATTCAATAAAAACCCCATAACCAGGCCCAGGTGTTTGTCAATCTGAAGACTGGCCCAGAAGTTGGCCAAGGCCAGTCCCACCACACTTGGCAACTGACCGTTCTGCTCCCTTGCATTCTTGGTTGCGCTCTCAGGATCAGCAATGATTGTGTTTAAATAGCACCTGACACCACTTTGCTATGTTGTCATGGCCATGAGTCAGTGTAATAGTCCTTATAATAACTAACAGTCATTGAGCATCTGTTCTAGGCAGATGCTTTATACACACTTCCTCATTGCACCAATTAAGATGCTTTCAGTTACTACAGACAGGAAATACAGATCAAACTGATAACAGATGAAAAAAAAAAATAACAATAACAAATGGAAGGTGGAGGTCTTGTAGCTGAAAATGTCCAGAACTATGACCACTTCAGGCAAAGTGTGATCAAGGCCCTGGCCACTTTTCTCTGCAGTTTCTCAGATCTTCCACCATATGTGTGAATTTCATATTAGCAAATATAGCTCCAAGCCTCCTGATTTTATACTACAACTTCTAGAGAGAGAGTATGTACTTATTTGCTAAAAGAGATTTCTGCTAAAAGAGAAAGAGTTCTTTCCCAGAACTGTTCAGAAAAGCTCCCCAATCACTAGCCTGAATTGAGTCACTTTTCATGGCCAGGAGAATAGCCCACACTGCTGAACTGAGGCCTGAACCAATCCCTGTGGCAGGGGGATTTGCCAAGCCTGTTTGGCCAGGACCAATCAGAGCCCATACCTAGCAGTGGGACTGAAGCTAATTCCTCCCTGTCAAGTGTCATGGGCAAGGTTTATACAGGTTGTACATGAATCAATCACCATACCCTATCCTCATGATATATTAGGATAATCCAGTATCCCTGTCATGATACAGTTAGGGAAACTGAGGCTAAATAACTCTCCCAGCATCACCTGGAGATACAGCTGCATCCTTCCTAGTCTGAACTAGGGCCTATGCTCTTTCTACTCTACCAGTCACCTGCTCATTCACCCAACATTTATGGGTAGTAGATTTCTGTGTTGTGCTACTGAATAGTAAAATATGAGTTCTCTGAGTATTGGCCACGGAACAGCTCCTCCCCTCCTCGTGGCTGTTATCTTGTGGCTTTAGGACACTGTAGCCTGGATCCATGATACGAGCTTTCCTAAGTGGGAAAGAAGGCTTTTGTATCAGAAGAGAAAAAAGGTCCATCCATTGTCTGTGCATGGAGAGAAGGGTGTGTTCATTGCTTTGGGAAGTCACAGAACTATGTCTAATGCTGGAAAATCAATCTGTCCATTCCTCCCAGCAACTAAAAGCGAGGCAGCTCCCCTCATCTGCACACAGATCAGATAGAGAAGGAGTCGTGCTCTGTGGTCACCAATGAGAAACCTGGAATGTAAAACAAAGTCCAGAACCCTAGTAGAATATCAGCTCTGTTAAGTAGCCCAGGGTGGCTGACTTCTTTGTCAAAGAACCCCATAACCATCCCAGAAGTTATTTGCACAAGAAAGAGTTTGTTAACCTACATAATTTTTATCCTCAATGTGATGGAGTATCTGAGTATAAGGTATTTAAAGCCCAGAAGTTTTGCTGTGGGCTTTCTTGAATCTTCCTCTTCCATTTCATGTGTGTCCTAGAACATCCCATAGACCCAGTTGCAGAAGAGGATACTGCCCACACCTCTGTCCTTTGAAGTGTGCTAAGTGAGGTGGCGGGGAGACTCCTCTGCTGGAGACTGACAGGGATTCTCTCACCCATAAGTCCTCTTTCTGGTTTTCAGAAATGAACCGGCATCACTACGCCCTGTATGTGCACAACTGCCGCCTCGTCTTCCTCCTGCGCAAGGACTTTGACCAGGCTGACACCTTCCGCCCAGCTGAGTTCCACTGGAAGCTGGACCAGGTATGGCCCTCAGCGGGCTCCTCTCCCCCGCTCGCCCTTGTGCAGGACGGTCGGTGCACTCCATGGTGGCGGCAGTGGGTACACCCCTCAAGGCTCTGGCCCCTTGCTGAATTCTGGAAAAGTCAGCTCAGGGAGACACATCTCTAAAGTCAGAATGGAAACTGCCACCTCAGACCAGCTGGAGGTGGGGAGAGCTGCACTTCCCAGCCGGGACCCAGCACCAGTCAGTGGACCTGCCAACATGTGTGTTTTGCTCTGCATTGAGCTCCTGGGAGGCTGCTTCTCTGGATCCTCGGGTCCAGTTTTTCTTTTTTGTTAGTACATCTTTATAGCATACATGTGCCCTGTCTCCTCTCTGATGCTCTACTATTCCCTGTGGGTGCCATGTAGCCTTGCGTTTGGTGACACAGATTGAGAACAGGGACAGGGGGACCTGGAAGTAAACAGTGACACAGTGCACTGTGGGCACATGTTCTTTTCTAAAGTGGGAAAATCTGTGACTCATGCCAGAGCCTCATGACTCGTGATCACAAGCGCCACTGTGTCCTACTTGTCAATGACAAATGAAGCCTCTGGCCTGAATGGGAAGCCTTGAAGTGTCTGTTTCCAGGGGCTGTGCAGCACTGACTGTGGGGGGCACCCCACCCTCTCTGGGTGGCTGTGCCTTGCCATATGTCTGTCTGGGCAGCAAGTCTGGAGTTGGGCTTCACTTAAATTTGAAAAGGTGGGGCGGGCGTGAATTTTTTAATGACTAAATTATCCAAAGGAAGAATGCCTGCAGACAGGGAAGGGGGCTGTAGAATGGTCTGCTTGATGAAGCAGATGAAGTGATGCTCGTTGTGGCCTTACTACCTGGAGCCACAGTATTTCTCTGCTTTCTTTCTCCTGCACCTGTATCCCAAGCACTTCTGGAAACCTCAGTCTTCTTTTCTCCCTCTAAAACTCCATGTCTGTGCCACCCCCCTCGCCTCAGCTAGAGCTGAGCCCTCCTTCTTACCTGTGTCTACCCCCACCTTCTCCCAGTGGTCCTTAAGCCCCGGGTCCCCAGTGGGACTGAGTTCAAACAGTTTCACTGGGAAGCATTCCAGGAGGAACTCATTTACATTGCGAGGAGAATGATAGCTGCCCCTTTTGCATCTACACAGAAGTACGGACATATGCTCTTTAAAAGGATTCATTAACCTCAGGGAAGGTCTCAGTGATGGAACTTGAGGCAATGTGACAAGGTGTCAAGGATGCCAAGTTGATGGGAAAGACGTTTGAGGGAGCCAGTGGCAACTGCCTAATCCATTCCCAATAAATCCCATCCTCCTGGAGCCTGGAGTTTTGCAAATATGGCATCTGGATGAGTGTATGTTCTTCTGAATTAGAAATTCAGGGTGTTGCAGAAATTGTGAAATTGTGACATTGTTTATTTGATTTCCCCACAACCTCTCAGCTACATTGTACAGTGCCATATGGCGTATATAGGATGTATATAGGATGTAATGTGAACTGAGGTACATTAAAATAAATTCTATATTTTGAGGGTTTTTAATAAGAACATTGCTATCATGGCCAAGATGGTCATGGATGCCCTGTGACGTTTTCTAAGATGGGATTGATAAGCACTCACATAGGCTAATAAAGTCATAGGGTTTGGAATTAAAAATAGGTGGAGACAGAACTCTGGTTATACAGATAAAGATATAGTGAATGTAGGAATTCTGAAATCTGTTCCCAAAGTGGTGAACTTAAGGAAGGCCTGAGATACACTGAACACCTTCCAAATGACTCCAAGCTCCTTTCCTACCATTTGTCGACTCCTGCTTTGTGCCAGGCATGCCGCATGCTTGAGCTCATTCTGCTCTCAGCCCCAGTGGGGCCCAGGGACCATGGTCTCAGCTCACCTGGCATGGCACCATGAAGCATGGCTCAGACCTGCCTTTCCATGATGCTGTGCTGCTGCTTAGGTGTGCCTGCCAATTTCAAATATAAAATGTCTTCATTTCTAAGTGTAACATATTTTTTATTTAGGGATCTGGATTATCCCTGAAATGCAAAATTTTATAGTCTTGATGAAACCCTATGAAAATGTCAAATCTCCCTCTGCTCACACTTTGTGTCCTTCACCTCAGTCAGCTCAGGCTGCCAGAACAGAATACCACAGACCGGTGGGCTCAAACCACAGGCATTGATTTCTCACAGTTCTGAAGGCTCAGGAGTCCAAGATCAAGATCCCAGCGGGCTCTGTTGCCCAGTGAGGGCCCTCCTCCTGGCCAGGAGGGAGCTGTCTACTCTCTGCGTCCTCACGTGGTTGAGAGAGAGCCTGGGTACCTTTCCTCCTCTTATAAGACAGGAGCCGTTGGATCAGGGCCCCACCAGTATGACCTCATTCACCCTCCCCTACCTCCTTAAGGCTGCAACTCCAAATACAGTCACATTGGGGGTTAACACTTCAACACATGAATTGGGGGGTAAGGGAGACACGTTTCTGTCACAGCACTCTTTTACCAAAGAAATTAACATTCAAAGAAACGTAAAGCCTGCCTATTAATGATCAGAAGCCCCAGCTCACCTGGACAGGAGCTACAGTGGATGGGATATAGGAAACCTCCACCATGCTCATGCTAGCCATCCAGTGGTGTATACAGACCAGCTTGCAGAGCCCTCCCTCCCCTTATTCAGCTCCCTGTGTAGACAGAATCTTCTTGCATGTAAGTCACTTGCTGCCCAGAATGTACATACCTGATAATGTCTCCTCTACCATGAAGCCATCCTGGACCACCTTGCTAGTGGCATGCCTCTCCCCTGTGCTCTCCAGGCCCCACACAGTAGCCCATCCCAACACTTACTGCACCCTAGAGACTCCTTTATCCTTCCTTTCTGCCCACTTTATGCTGAGCTCTGAGCAGACAGTACTGCACTTTACTCTCTCCAGATCCTCAGTGCAAGTTACAGCCCTGAGTACACAGTTGGTGCCCAATAAATGTTTGCATAGCAGCAAATGGATGTCAAGATCAAAATAAGAGAGAAATGAAGTGAGGGAGGGAGAGAGGGAAGGAGAGTAGAAAAGTTCAGACATTTTTTAAAATCTCCTGTGATTAATTGACCTTTTGATTCATTTTATGTAACATTTTTAAATTTTACAATTTTGCATCTTTTACTTTCAGTCTCAAGCATTGTCCAGCTTTGATTTTGATGAAAACAAAAATCTTAGTGTGTTTACCACCAGTAGCTCTGTGATTAGTAGAGAACTTTCTGGCCTTGGCAGAAAGGACTCCAATTGGTCTGTTATATTGTGTGTATTCAAATTCTTGGCCCACCTTGGAGATTCCAGAAGCATAGTAAATGTTCTAAAGCCTGATGGTACCTCATTTATGCCTTTATTCAGCAGAGCACTAACTATATGCCAGGCTCTGTGCTGGGTACCAGTGATCAGGGGGTCGGGGTAGATGGAAGCCTCTGCTCTCTAGAGGTGTCCATGATAATGGGGAAAAGAACACATAAGCAGTTTATGATCCTATGCAATATGTGCTGGGTCAGAAGGCAGGGCCTAAGTGGGAGGAGTGACATTCCAGGGACACTGATGTGGACCTGGGGTGGAGGGCCTGGAGATGCCCCTGGGGGAAGGACCTCATCTGAACAGAGTGTGGTGGGCACAGTGGGGTGGGGCCAGGCAGCCAAGATGGCAGAGAGGTGCATTAAAGGGCCATCCTCAAGGAACTCTAAGCTTCCTGTGTGGCAGGGCGTCGGGACGGGGTGGAAGGGGACACTTTGGCAGGCTTGGCAGTTTGGAGGAGCTGGTGGGAATTAAAATCTCAAGGTTTTTTTATATCATGTTATTGAGTGGGTACTTGATCTCCAAAAGAACGGGCCACAACTGAAACATTTTGTTATTCAAAGAAGACTGAAAATTTTAGGGATGGGTAAATGTGAAGAATGCTACCATGGCATTCATAAAATTTATCAAATTTAAGCAACTATAGCTCAAACCAGGTCATTCAGTGGGTCCAAGGACAGGGCTGCAGTGGAAGTGGGGTCTTGCCTCTCCCCTCTCCACAGCCTGGACAGGAGATGAAGCACTTGACACATGTCACTCACAGGCATTGAGACCAGGGCATGGTTTCCACATAGCCCTTCAGGAGTGTGCCCAGGGAGTGAGGCAGAGGCCACAGGGCAGCTGTGTGCTTCCAGCAGGCCAGTGCCATTCCCCCCCCACTGCAGAAAGCCTCTGCCAGAGAAGACAGGTGGCCAGGTACATCCATTCGCAGGCAGTTTCAGGAAATGCCTCTGACAATCCACTACTCCTCACTTAAGAGATCATAACGATGAGAAGAATGTCATCTTAATGGGATTTTTACTTATGATCTGCTAATGCAAATCCCTCGAGCCTGCAGTTAGTCATGTGCAAACCCAGACAAGAGCAGAGGAGAACACCCGGCTGCCAGCTCACACAGGAAAGGTTTATTAATTTGCAGCCCCTCCTGACCTTAATATTATTTGGATGTGGTTGACTCATTGTCATGAATTCTAATGATCTTCCCTTTGGACTTGTCAGTGTTTGGAGGGAAACCTGCTGATGTTTTATGGCATGTTCCACTTATTGGAAGCCACAGCTTGAGTGACACCCTCAACTGACCAGCAAGAGGACAGGTGCTCCCGGCACATATGAGGAAAAACATGCATCTTTGAAAAAGTGCAATGAGCACAAGATGCAGAAATGAGATTCATTCTCTTGGCCATTGCCTTCCCTGTGTCAGAACTTGTAATAGGCACCAGGACAGAGAAGAAGAACATGGCCCTGCCCTGGGGGAGCTCATGGCCATGCCCGGTTTGTGGACGCTGGGGAGCATTCTCCTGCAGAAGTCCCAAACCCTAATAATTATGGGTGAGGAGAGGCAACAAAGGTGAGTGAAGATTCCTGGCTGGGTGAAGGTGGGCCTTCACTGAAGAGCCAACCACCACACCACTTCAGGCCACACAGGAATCCACACCTGTTGCTGTGCCTCCAATTGTTT